GAACTGCTAGTCTTCCTCATACCTTTTTAGCCCCACAGTCTAAAAAAGATAGCTTGTTAAATCCAGCTTCGGTCACTGATCCAGGATGCTCTGATGGGTTCTTAAGGTGGCAGGCAGCTCTTCCGCTTGTTAGGTTCCAAACACAAGAATATTGACCAGAAAGTGCTAACCAAGGCCTGGTTATCTCGAGACGAACACATGTAGTGTTACATGACCAACCTTAGTAATTCTTTTGGGATTTTTGGTGAATAAACCAAATCAAAGCTATGAAAAAGAAGATGAAGAAAGCAAAGTGTCTAGTGAAGTGAGGTAAATATCTAATCCTAGCTATTCACAACTTTATAAACCTCAGTCTTTGATTGCAACTAATTCCACAAAGCTTTGACGGAGCCATTCACTCAAATGCTTGCCAGGGGTGTCAGTGTAAACCTCATAGAAGCTTCCTTGGGTACATTTGCTAGGTCTGGCTGACATAGCTCTGATGGGACACCCAGGGAGAGAGATGGGGATGGTTGTTGTGCAGTACTGAAGAACTGGAAATGCACGTCAAAACATGAAACATTAATTTGAAAAAATGTGAGAATTACTTATTTCTGGTTTGTATGTACAGGGCTACTGCAGAGCACCTGTTCAGTGCTCAAGACAGCACTGAGAACTTCTGAACTACCTGCCTTCTACTCCTTCGAAGCCAGATGTGACAAGACAGACAGAAGGCAATTTGCTTTTTAATGCTTATCGAGCCAGAAATCACTGCATACAGTAATAACATCAATCTAGTGCAAGTTCCATGCCAATCCTTACATTCTTCCCCGACTCTATCCATGGTGTGGTTGGAAAAAGCTAGCTTTACTTTAAAAAGAAAAAAAAGAAAACCAAACATGGAAGAATTTGTTTAAAAGTCTACCACTTAAAAACCAGCATGCTAGACCACAGACTGAGAGCACTCAATTTGGACCAGGGCAGAAAACCTTAGGAGGTGCCCTCAGTGAAGCATTTAAAATGCCATGTTAACAGGACTGAAGTTCCCCCCAGGCTTTTTGGTGCTCTATGCCATCACGGTAAAAAAAACGAAGTTTTGAGCAAAGCAAACCTGCTGGTGGACAGGACTGGTGTGTTAAAGTATGCTACAACAGCTACGTACCCTTAAACCAACCTTCAGCCTTCCTTAGTTAGTAGTCGTTATCAATGTCTTTATTTATTTATTTAGTATCAGGCACATTAGGCTGGGTTTCTCTCTCCATGAAAACTATTTTAACACAAAGCAGATTCAGGTCTTTATTTGTTCTGAACCACAAATGAAAAAGCAACACATTCAGTTTGGTAGAAGGTTGCCAAATGGATGAAAAAGGCCTGCAAGTTTTCCTTTTGGTTGCCCTTAGCATTTACGGTCAACTTTTCCCAGCTCAAAACCCAAAGTCTGCTCTCAATTAGCCTGGCGTAAATCAGAGCAACTCCATTGACTTCAGACAGCTTTTCTGGATATATAGCATTGTGAGACAGAACAGAATTTGGCCAATATTGTCTTTTTTTGTTTTACCGGCACCATGAATTTTTCTGTTTTTGGAAGACTTATCGGTTGACATAAAGCAGATGACTGTGGACAACCTGTTTGATGTGGTAAACAAAAGCAAAGTAACTGCCAAACCAGCTGATGGAGTTAGAAAGAAAAGAAACATGAACACTGTGGGAAGGAGAATGCTGAGGAAGAACTTGAACCTTCTACTGATTTTGGTAGCGAAGTCCAAAAATAACCAAGAATATTGCCCAAAATAAAATTTAGTACAGTCTCAGAGTGTGCCTTTAATCTCTAACCATGTCCATCAGAAACAATTCCACTGAACTTGATGGTGCTAATCCACTGTAAAACCAGGCATAGACGTCTGCAACCACACACGAAGTTCGGATACCAGCAGGAGCAACACGGTAAGATCATCATCAATATTGTTCATGTTTCCTATTGGTAAAGAAAATGCAGTGAAGGAATAAAGAGACTGAAACCCATTTTGCAGACTATTTTTCAGAAAATACAGCACTGCAAAAACTTACTGCTAACTTTTTTCCTTCCTCAAGAAGGACTAGGATCATGAACCTAAAAGAAGGTTATTAGCAGAAGACAGATCATTCCTGGATGAATTAAAGTTACTTTCAGCTTAGAGAGGTAATTTTGATCCATTTGTACAGATTCCTCTCTACAACATTAATGATGGAAGCAGAAGGGACACAACAACCATTTCTTTTGACAAAAACAGGTGATGCCTACATCATATTTCAACATATGATTATAAAACCTCATTACCAATGAGAGGTTTAAAGTTACAATGATCTATTAAAATCCTTTAAATCAATAAATATATTGCATCAGAAGCCATGTGGTCAAATTTGAAAACTTGATTCCAGTAGGAATAATGCAGAGAAAAACCTCTTTCCACTTAAAGTTAATTCAAACTTTATAAATGTGTAAAAACTTTGTATGGGTCATTCAACTTCCCTATTTTTCTGTTTAAATGTTAGTGAATAGAAACCATGAAGCTTTTACTTTATTTTTCTGTCCCAGTTTAGCTATCAGTTGTAAAGATACTGTTGTACTCATCTGGACTATTTCACTGAAAGCTGAGACTCACTGGGATATGATAAAGCAGGAAGGCTGGTTTTCCTCTTCCTACCACAACTACAGATTTGGGCAGATGATGAGACTAAAAATGTGAAGGACAGAATCTGCTTTTCTGAAATGCCTGTTTACCAGAAATGCAGCAGGATTTATAGAAGAGCCAACTGTTGACTAGCTTCTTCTCAAGGCATCTTCAAAAATTTTGCTGGGCATGGAACATGCATCTTCAGCTGCCAAAACATATTCTGTGGTCTGTAATGTCCAATGGGAAGAAAAACAATTTTCTAGTACAAGTAATATGCCTTTACCTGCTAAGAGGTTTGGAGAATGAGGGGGCGACGGAGACGAACGATGACACGGGATGATTTTCATTTAACTAATATGTGAAGTAAAGATCAGTGTTACATACACTCAGAATTGAATGCCTCTTTCCTTACAGAGGCAGGTGAGCAAGTTAGAAATTCCAAACGGAGTTGAAGAGAATCTAATTATTTTCCTAGACAAGATTCCAAGGACAACTGCAACATGAAATTAAATTTGACTGCTTAAATGAAGACTTCTTTCCCGGTTTTCAACTAAATTATGCTTTAAATTGTGTCACTGTCAGAGAGGGTGTGGAGCAGAACTGGATAATTTTTCTTTCAAAAAAGTAGGATAATTATTGAAATTATGCTATGCTGGTGACAAAATATTTCAAAGAACTTACGAAACTAATCTGCCATGTTTCTACTCCCCCAATACTAAAAAACAGTTCAAACACAAATTCATTAGAAGGTACTGAAGACTGCAAAATAAAGCTAGCAAGCAGACATTAACAGTGAGTAAACGTATTGGTAGAAGTTGTTGTCCTGCATGACTTGTATTTGTTTAATTACATCAAGAGAATCAACAATTTCTGTAGAGTTGAAGCATTCCGATCCAAATCCATCAGTTTAAAAAAACCCAATGGTATCTGCTCCATATCCATGGATACAGATTCCCAGTCACATTGGTATGTCATGAAGCAGGGCCCAAGATCATGCATGAGGCATCCCATGCAGAGCAGCTGAAGCCCCCAGCTGTACTCACACTGAAGATGCTTTAAACGCAGCCTCAAATGCACTGTCATCCTTCTCATCAGCCTGTAAGACCATGGGGCTCTCAGCTGCCAGCCCACTAAAGACCCGGCCAACAGAGGGTGATGGAAAACAATCATTAATGTGTTGTTGAATTCAAGAAAAAATAAAAAGGGAAAAAAAAGCACCATTATGCGGTATACAACATGCAACTACAGTTTATATTATCTGAAGTCTTACATTTTTATATTGCCTGAAGCCATTAAACTTTAGTTAACTCAGTTTGCTTTACAAGAAGGGATGCTTTACACGTAACGCAGGATTTTAAGGCTCTAAGCTCAGATCCAGTGCTAACCAACAGAGACCTCCAAAGAACTTCACAAATGTTAAAATCAATACAAGATATGCTCTTCATGGAGCACGCTTCGGTTTTTCAAACTGCACCTTCAGCCACAGGATGACAGAGTCCATCTTTAGGTATCTGCAGCATATGTACCTTCACCTGAGCTAGTCAGCCAGATTCCCTTTATAGTCAACAGAGAGGCACAGCCAGTTTCACAGCATGATTTATCTTGGTTGAAATTTCAGGCATGTAGAATACGTTAGATAACTGAAGGCCCACCAGAGCTTGCTGCACTCCACTGACATCAAAGGCAGGCGAGCTGATCAGACATCTAACTTAGGCAAAATTAATTCCAGCCCTCTTGTGCAGCAGTCAGACTGAGGATCTGCAGCTCCCTTTTCTCCTAAGCATGCATAGCCCAAGCCAACCGTTACAGGACTGGCAGTGACACCAGCTTTGACTGACTCCAGAATTGCAGACTGCTGCCTAACTAGGCTCTCTTTCACTCATTATAAAGCATTACATATATTTACTACTACAGTGTAGTCTCAAAGGAAAAAAAATTATGCTGGAATGCTGATTGCAAAGGGAGGGAAAAAATGAACTGTAACAAATACAGGACAAATAGTTCTGCATTAATGTAATATGCCCTTGTTACAATTTTCTGTTATGTGGATATATTGAATATAAAATCTGTCAATGGATGAAATTAAGCCCGGTTGGTTCCCATATCAAATGCTCTATCTCATGTGGTTTCGGTCCATTTACTTAAAGTAGATGGTGCCAAAGAACTTAGCTATGTAGACAAGTCACTTATAAATCCATTCCTTTTCATTGTTGTCTTCTTTGTTTTAACTTTAAATATGCTTTTTTTTTTCTTTTTTAATTACATGGAAAGAGGGAAATAAAAGTCTGTCAGATTACTGAAGTTCAACGAACATAACATAAAGTAATAGGGGAAAAGAAAGGAGTATACCTCAGTTCATGCACTTACCTCTCACTGAGATCTTCAACGTGCTGTCCGTGGCCTAGCATGAAGCTAGGGTTTGACTGACCGCACGGACTCGCAGGGGCTGATAAAGTGCTTTTGAGGTTCTGTACCGAGTGCCTGCGGCTCCGTCGGCGCTCTAACCCCCTTCGCTCACTAGCACCGAGGCTGGCCCTTCTCCGGTCCTTGCGCCCACTGGGAGGGAGGTCAGCACTCTCGTCTCCATCCTCATGTCTCAGTGTCATCTGTGAAAGAAAGGAAGAAAGGCGAGGCTTCTGACACAGTTCCTTTAGGTACCACAGGTCCTCACACCTAGGCTTTAAAAGTTAACCGATGTCAACATGATTAACTCGTATTAGCATCACCACTTCTATAGCTGTCCCTGTAAGTTGCTGTCTATCCATTAGTGCAGCGTAGCAGCTCTAATAATGGAATTATATACTGACACCTTGTATAGAACACTACAGGACCTGTAACAACATTGTTATATAGCTCCTACTTTGTGGTTTGGGGTTTTTTTTTTTTAATGTAGCACTTAATTTTCAAGGAAGCTGAGCAATGTTGGACACCTAGCTCTCTCTGTTTCCTTCCAAAATAATTAGGTGAAGTCTTGGATTTACTGAAATCAACAGAAAAAACTCTTATGCATTGACTGATTAAACATTTCCTCATGTTCAGACATGACACTTGTAAAGTTACCATCTGCTACTTTAGAAACTATTTTAGAATAGTGCCATCATTTCTTCCCAGACAAGGAAGAGATCAGCAGATGTGTATGTAACTGCAGTTCGCTTAAAAATCTCCATTTTGACAGATTTCCCTGTAAAGTAAACAAAGGGAAAAAACCTAACAAACAAAACTATTTCTGTAACTGGTACCACAATGGATTAAAAGAAAAAAATGCAGACCAGACATCTCCTCCAAGCCTCCCAATTTTTAGGTTAGCATTATTAGTTTCATGTATGCCTTTCAGTGGAAAATTCAATATTTCCTGCCAGTTCAGAAGCATGGTCAATAGAGAAGAACATATGTACAATATCAGGAAAGAATGATGCTGAGAATAGCATGGCCACCATCACACTTGACCGAAACTTCTGACACAGGTTGGGAGCTCATCAATTGGAAACAGTAGTGGAGTAAAATACGGGTGCAACACCTAGTATCTTGAACTACAGCATGCTGTTGATGGGCCAATGTGACATACCTCTAAGAGAAACAAAGCAAGTGCTACTTTAGGGTGTGTGAGGAGAGACACCACTGGCAGAAAGAAGAAAGTCACTGGTGGATCTCATCCGAAACGTGGCATAATGTTTAAGTAATCTTTATATGAGAAAGATCCACTCAAATAGGCAGAGGTACAGAAGAGGGCAACGTGGGTGATCAGAAGAATGCCTATCTTGTTTCTATTAGTTTTTTTATTCTGATAATTCTTACCAGAAGTGACTTTAACAAAACAAAGGCGGGGGAAGCATGATATCTCTGCTTAGGGTGTAAAATCTATTTCAGTTGGGAAGAAGAGATTTTTCAGACACAGAACAACATTGGCAGAAAAACGAAAGAATGCACATAGGCATGTCTAAATTTAGTCTGGGCATCAAGAGAAAGCTGGTACCCAACTAAGCCAACTGCTAATTTTGCAACCAAGCCTTTCAGTAGGCAGAGCAGGAGCAAAACCCCCTCCTTTTAAGACTAACGATCATCTTTTAAAGAGGATTTTAAGAACTGATGCTGCTGAAAACAGAAAAAGAAAGGAGAACATGGAGTCCTCTCATTCTCATGTTCCTGTTTTGGCCCGACTCCTCTTGCAAACTGCTGTATATAAGACTTAACTCTGTAAAGTTAATGAAGTGACACAGGTGTAGAGTTGATGAAGAAAATGGAGAACCAAGTCTACCAAATCCATTGCGGGACTTAGCCGGAGACAAAGTAATTTCATTTCGTCACACCACAACATGAACTCACATTTACATTACATTTACTCCAGTCTAAACCTCCCTGCTCCAACACTTCCTGAAGCCTGAAAAGAGGCTGATTATTAAGAAACTGGATATCCTACCTTACATATAAATACTTCAGAAGCAGTTATTTTATACCTAGGTGGTGTATGCGGAGTAGCTCATTACTCCACTGCTGCAAATTGTATAGGATCTGGTCCAGTGTAAACTCGTAAACAAGGACTTGCTGGGTATTCAGCTGCAGAACAAGTGGTATTTGGGAAGCTGAGCTCAGCCGAACCTTTTTCATGAGCTGAATACTTCTGCATATGGAAAGAACTTCTACCTACTTCAGCCTGTGTAACTAGCAGTCTGAGAAGGTTTTAATTGCAGGCAGAATTGCCTCTAAGGAGGCTAGTAAATGTGCTGGTTTGCCTTGGAGCATGCCCCAGCTTTAGCACGAAACGCATTTGTATTAAAGGCAGCTATGTACCATAGCAGGTCACATACACGAATCTGTATAATACTTCCAGCAACCAGATGTTTTTCTTTTAAAATAAAATAGATAACCAAATTTCACCTAGGTTACATTCCCCTCCTCGTCTCGGCTTTGAAGTTTGCACAAGCTGTAAGATGCATAAAACAGGACATGTTATGTTACCTCATAAATGTTAAATTGCTCAACTAAGTCCAAGTCTGTTCCTTTCTTGTTCAAGTGTCTCTGTGAAATAGCTTCAATGCCTAGCTCTTCCAGACAGTCCACCACGTCGTAGAAAGAGTCTTGATCTGGCAACCCCGACAGCGTCTAAGAATCAAAGGAAAAACATTTAAATCTGTTTGTTTTGAAAAGAATTAAACAAAGGTTTTTAAAAGCGGGTGGCAAGTGGTGCTATGTATGATTTCAATAAAGTAAAACCATGATGTGGGATTAGAGACACCGCTAGAAAATAAAAAACAAGTGGCACAGCTTTTAACAAACAACTCTGTGCACTGTGTAGAAAAACGAATAATTGGCAAAACAAATCAATGTTGTTATTTCATACAAAAAAGTATGGAAAATGTGGGTCTTTAAAATACACAGTTGGATTCTTCCTGGCTTCATTCAAGTACAGATTTAAAGAACAGAGAATGTTAAAGCATCAAACAGAGGGATAAAAGCAAAGAGAGAGAAAAAAATGGTTTAGCTAAAACCAGTGAAGCTGATTTCCTACTGATTCCTCCAAGTTTGGCCTTAGAAAGAAAAAGCCCAACGCACAGCTGTGTGATGTCAGGACAGCAGGACATATCCTGCACCATGTGCCTACTGTCCTCCACACCTGCAGCAGAGGTCATCCTCCCAGTGCACTAATTGTTTCACATTACAGAGATACTGACTCCTCTCCTCCCTTCCTCCCCTTCAGCTTGAAAAGTCACATTAAAGGTACACTGACGCCTTCACTCCTATAAAATGTTAAAAGAGTTACTAATTCCTGATTATGGGGGAAGTTGTTACCAGCAACACTGGAGAAGAGGTTTTGTGCACTAGAAAATAAAGAATGACAATAATAAAAGCTGTTGAAAATGAACTGTTTTGAGTTCAGAGGTTTCTGTGGCACCTGCTCTATGTTCGAGAGAGAGCACTTTTCATACCATAGTAACTTCCTATTTTTTTGGTGAATTCAGAAAACTGAGAAAAGGAAGGTGGTCATCTGCAGTGTATCACGTGTATCATTGTACGCCACTGCATGTATGCAGCAAGAGGGACTGAAGCAAGCCACACACAGCTTTTCTGCAGTGATGTGTGGGAAGGAGACATGGGCATAAGACAACATTGTTCAAAGCACAAGTGAACTTGATTCACCAGAGTCCTGTGGACATTTACAAAGACAACAGAAAACCCTACTGTTCTGGTTTGCCATTGATTTCTACTCAGCTTGTGCCGATTTTTTTACTGCTCCTTACGGATGATGCAGAAAAATGAGTGTAATCCTCCACAAGTTGAGCAGAAACTACTGACCATACTGTGCAACCTACTTGCAGAGCATCATATACCTCATCAGAAGAATCGGTCTATATAGACCATTTCTGCAAAATACGTGAGTGCAGACTGGAAGCAACACCGTTATTTTGGATTAGCTCACCAGAGAGATGCTTACTCTGAAGTGGTTTCCCCTCTTCTATTTAATTAGGCAGGTAACTTATCTATAATCCCAGCAGAGGAGAGAAAGAGCAAGAGATAGAGACGTCACATGCAAAAACCAGGCCCTCTCCAAAAAGAGTTTGTTCTTCTCATGCTGGGATGGGGTGAACTGTACTCTGAGAATATCGGTTTCCGAAGTGGTTCTGAGCAGCAGAGTGCAGAAGGGAGCAGCCACTCTGGGCCACCTCCCTACGCCACGAAGCTTCACATTCAGAAAAGTTGGTCTGAATTATGTGACTAACAAGAGGGAGGAATAGACAGCTGACATATCCTGCCCTGTTAAAGCACCGCTTTCCCAGAAAATGTGCATCACCAAGCTACTTTTAAATTGAATTCAATTATTTTTTTTTTTAAACTAAACACAACACAGCAACATTTTCTTCTTCAGTCATTACAGGACTATTGTCTGATGTCTGGTGAGGTCCTTGGAATGCCCAGCACAAACACCAATGAAGCATTAGAGTTATACGTTCAGGGTTCTATGTTCAGGTTCTACTTATGAATTTGTCTCTGTCCAGGACAGTATTTAAGCCTCTGTTTAAAGCCCACTGAAAACCACAAAACTACATTTTCCTGAACAGTGCTGAAAACAGATACCATGTACATTTTGTTCCTTCCTAAACTGACACCTAGTATTGAGCAAAAATCTGAGGATTCAGCAAATGAAGCTATCACACTGTAAATTCAATGGAGCTTTAACACGAGCAGGGAAACACTGTAATAGAAAATGGTGTTCAACTATCAGGCTTTCTCTTGCTTATGAAAGAAGTAGACAGCAACCACGCTGACCTGAGTGTCTTCATGCACAGTATGCCTGTGCAAAAGGGTGGACACAGAGTCAGTTCCTCTGCACAGATCTTCTGAGCGTGTAGTTCTTAAAATATCAGGAAATGGTCTTAACGTTGATAAGCAGATCACCCACCTTAAAGCACAGCTGTTTTAAAATCTGAGGTAAGGCAGGCTGTAGACAGGGAAAATAGCAGTCTTAGGTTGTATTTACTGGCAACTCTGCTTTTGTCAGCAGCCTTTTATTAGTTAATATAATTTTAAATCATGCAGCAGTGGAAATTCAATTTTCACTGCATGCTGCTGACCAGAACTGGGCAACTGAACTCCCAAGTATAGAAAGCAAATATTTTTCCTTTGCACAGCTTGTCATTAAACTTACTAGATCCATTTTCAGAGCCTAATGCATATCAAATTAAATTCTAACATTATAAAATAGGATGTAAAAGGGCACATGGATAGTATTTAAGCCTCTGTTAAGGCACAAAGTCAGTTCAGTCTAGCACAGGAGAAAATTTTTTGTAGTAACCAAACTTACACAAGGGACATGAAGTGCTTGCATAAATGACTGATTAATTCTGGCTTATGATATTAGAACATAGAATGGGACTCCATTTTCTTGGTGGCTTTATAAAGGAAACAAAAGCCACAAACAGCAGAGCAAAGTCATAAATTGGGCAGGTCCTTGCTCCTTCATAAGTACTTGGTTAAGTTCAAAATGATACTCCAATATCAAAATACACATACAAGTCCTAACTAGTTCCTGCTGTTCTGAAGACTGAACCTTACAAAATGAAAACCTGTCTAAAGAATTAAAATTTAGCCACTTGGAGAAGTGTTTTTAAACCATACCCTGTGGTCTGCTTGCTGAATTTTGTTACATTCTCGCTTAGGGCAAAACTGGGATTTCAAATCTGAAACCCTTCAGAACTCAGGTGTACAAAAGAAGCATGAACGTGAATGTCAAGACTCATTCCTATGCCTCCATCTATTTTTCGTTTGAAGAAACAACCCTGAATTAAGGTTTTTGTTTGTTTGTTGTGTGATTTTCAGAGCTGCTTTCCTAAGGCCTTGCGGGAAAGCCTGTGCAGCTTTGAGTTCTCCCATCTCAAGGGGCTGCTTTTGGAATGGTGAACTATAAAACCAAAATCCCAGCCCGAGAGTTTTGAGCTTGGTATATCTTCTTAAGACATTTTTACCAAAGCCTAAACAATTCTTTTTGCCTACCACTAACTGTAACAGTCCCAATGGAAAGAAAGGTAAGAAAACTAATGAAATTGTATTGCAGGTTAAAAAACCCCTGAAGAGTTTTATGGGAGTCTAACAGCCAAACGTTTTCCTAGATGACAAAACCTATTAGACAACATACTCAAATGGTAATAGCACAATATTCTTATCACTACATATCCTCAGTTACATTTCTGAACAAAACCTGACAAATTAGGCCATGCCTGCCTTCAGTCTGAAAGGCTCTCTTCATTTGCAGTTTTTAAAATTCATAGCCCTGGATGACACTAGCTAGTAAAACTAATAAATATGATGTCTTTTGTCATTTATAAAACAATCACAGTATGAAACTGTGGTGCAGAGAGGATACAGACACGAGAAAGCCCATTTAGTGTGCAATCCTTTACATGCAAGTCCAAGTAATACAAGAGTACTGCTCTGGTTACTAAACTTCCAGCAGACTGGCCTTCACTAGAGGGCCCATGCACTAGATGGAGAGACATTAGCTAAATCTTACATGCTACAGTGAAAAGCACTATGTGGTAAATAAACACGCTTAAGGGCATTAGCCGTTTTCAATTGCTTTGGGATAGGAAGAAGCCTCTGTCATGTATCTGTTTTCCCAGGAAGCACAGCTTCTAAAACATCTGGTGTGGCCGCTGTCAGAAACAGGACATGAGATGATCTTTGTTCCAGTGTGGCAGTTGTGATGTTCTTAAGGTAGGTCATTGAAAACTGATGTGCCAGCTGCTGTATTAACACCACACTGGCCTGAAACAGCACTTTTTCAGCTACAGCTGATGGACCACTGGTAGGTGGTATGCTAAGCTCCCGCTAGTAACCCAGGGCCTGGAAGCTGGTGCTTAAATTCTAGTCTTATACTGGACCTGCTAAAAAATATCCAATGCTCAATCTGACTATACTAAAAAATAATCATTTTAATGTACTTTGTAATTATTTTATCTATTTTTAAAATGTATTTGTATGATACGAAAAAACAAGCAATATTAAATACAAGTAAAAAGAAAATGAACAGCAATGTTACAACTACAAAGCTGTCAGTGTCATGGCAATAATGATGAAGTTTTATAGCAGTTAAATGGAAGGCGGATTGAATGCAACACAGAGTTTTCTTTCTGCATTTGATAATTTGATTTTTTTTTTCTACACAAAGGACACACAAAGGCTTTAATCTATCCAGACTTCAGTAATAAAAATGAAGACAGTAGAGATTAGAATAAGATCATAGGAACTAACCAAAGCAAGATAACAAAGGTTATACTGGAACTATACATAAAAGGAAGCATCTCCATTGGGATCAATCTCATTTAAGAGATTCATTAATGCCTAAATCCCCCCAAATTAAGAGAGGTTAATGAAATGTTAGCATAAGTAAATTGGTTAAGCACCAACAAAAGAGAGGGAGAGGATAAAAGGACTGGAGCAGTTCTTATGTCTAGGCAGATGTGTTTTCTGCTCTTGAGCAGGAAGGAAAACAGTCTGGAAATGTACACATGGAGAAAGAAAAGAAGTACAAGTATGCTTCCTTGAGACGAATCCCTCATGAGGACTCTGTCTGCACTCAAAACTTTGACATTTCCTTGCCTAGAAAAGCTGAAACCATCTGAGCCTTCTTTATATTCTCTGCGGGGGGAAAAAATTACAACTGTGACATGCTGCTTGCTGTTTACTCTATAATCATGAAAAAAATCCCATTAAAAACATCATAAAGCTATTCATAAGCCAGATCATAATTATAAGTGTGGCATTGTGGGATTCCTCTCTTCCTTGATCTTCATAACTGCCTTGCTCCTTTGACTGCAAGATGCTTTTTCTTTTTGTGCTTTTAAAGAACTACCTCTTCCTAAAAGTAGCTTTAAATGTGGTGGAAAAACTCAGACTAAAGGAATCAACTATAAGATAATAGAAGAGTCAACACAGAACAAAATTTTTGAAGAAGTCAAACATCAGGTAGATTACAGCTGTGCAAATGAATAAGAGAATTATCTCAGAAAGAGGAATCGGTACACGAAGCAATGGGCTGTAAAACAGAGAGGTTAAAAACCAGTCGCCTCAGCTTTAATAGCAGCTACAGACACAAGCATATAAAGCTGGCATTTTTTTTTTTCAGAAAGAGTGCATCAGTGAGATGAAGTGGTCTTTTAAAGTCAAGAGGATCCTTATTAGCATGGAAGCAGGAGCAAGGGCGGCTCTAAATAGCAGCGCAGTAACATCAGTGATGTCACCAGGGGAGGTTAGTCCCTCTTGGCAGCTGTGCTGGACAGTATCTGCCATTAAAAAATCATTTTATCAAAAAAGCCACCAAAGCAACTCATGAACCCATCCACGTAGCCATGAGCATAACAAGATGGCAGCTTGATTTATGACCTCCACTGACAAACTCAGCATCTTTAAATTAATATAATGAATAATAATAAAATTCTGTAATACTCTGGCCTATTAAGTATAATCATAAAACACACAGTTGTTTTGATTTGCTAGTAGTATGCTGATCTTCTGTACTCTTTCAAAAAAACCCACTGTTAATTTTAGCCACCCTAAGATTTGTTTAGGACTAGGCACTAATTTCTAAGGAATTTACACTAATAAATTTCTAACTTTTACAGGCCTTTCACCTTCTCCCTCTTCATTGCACAAGTGAGTACACTGGAAAACATTTGATTTTACTGCAAAACTACTACTTGTAATCCAAGACACCAAAAAAATACAAAGAAAGAAGGAAAAAACTAACCTTTTTTTTTTTTTTTTTAAGCAGGAACACTCTTACTAGCACACAGACCTGTTAAATTCATCATATTTGGTTTGCAGGAAAAAAAATAATTAAATTATCTGAACTAGAAGACTGTGCACAATGCAAGCCTTTGTAAGCATGTGATCTTTTCACCAGCACTTGCTTTCTTTCTCCCCTTGGATAATGTGTTGAGCTAGTTTGTTGAGTTTTGTTTTGCACTGCATTGTCAGCGTCGGGAGAGGAGCCATGTCGTAACACGTTTCGGCACAGCATCTAGGGAAATAGCAGTTCTGCTCCCAGCTGCTGCCTCTGGGTCACTGCAACACAAGTAACAGGAGTGTGCGGATTGATCACAGCTGGTCCTGCAACTCCTCTGGGACAGGTCTCCTTTGTCTTATATTCTCAAGAGGGAAGATCATTATACAATTGAAAATACTAACATTATTTCCACCAGTTATGCTAACAAAGTAAACAAACCTTGTTAACCAAGGTCATTGCGTAAACCAGTAGTTCAGTATCAACCCCATCCTTCTCCTCCAGGATCTCCATGATGTTGGACCACGGCTTGGCTCCTAGAGGAAAATCAGAAACCAGTGGTGACGGTGATCAAAACAGAAAGCTATAGCATTGACATTTTTGCAAGAAGTAGCACAAGTTGGAATATGCGGCCGGGAGGAAGATCAAGTGGAAAGATCTAGCTTCCTCTACAGTCTCCCCTGCTTCACAGAGAAGTTAATGCAGACAGTGAAAGCTGCAGCGCATCCTAATGCAGGGATCTAAAATACGCCAGGTGGACTTTCCCCAAAGGTACCAACGTCTCTCCCTTGATGACAAAAGAAGCTTTGTTACCCAGTTTGACACTGAACTAAAAATCAGGTGGGAGGAATTTTACCCCTCCTATCATAGGCTCACATAGGCTTCAATAAATTTTCAACAAAACCCTATATGCTGTGCTTTCAGTGCACTTGTTGCTCACGTTCCTAGGCTATTACTGAGTTACGCTGCATTGAGATAAGTCCTGTTAACAAAACAGTGCGGCAGAGAAACACAGTTTCCTCAAGTTACAGCCTGTGAGTCTTGGGTAAAAGAAATGATCAATGAAGGGAAGAGATTTTTGCTGTGGTTCTTACTCAAATTATTTTAATACGAATTCTCTCTACAGAACTTTCAGATACGTTTCTCTCATTTTTCCAGTAAGGTCAACATTTGTGCTTCTAATTATGACATATTTGCTTGATTTGCATGTTGATGTGCATTTGCATGGTTATCTGATGCCTAAACCCAAGCGGCACAGTGAGTTATTGCGCCAAAGCCATCAGATAAGCAACACCAGCCAGACTCAAGATAACCTCTTGTGCGGAAAGCACCTTGTAAAACCATCCTATTTCATCCGGCTAAAAGGCATCTGCTAAAGAAAAAACCCACATAACTATTTTATCTAGGGAACAGAAGTAAATAATGAAAGACTATAATTCAGTGTTTTGTTTGGAGCAAAGATAAAGGTGAGGAGGACAAAGCAGAAAGCTAACCCTAACTCAGGGTTAACTTGAGACACTCAATTCAACTACACAAGCATAATTGCGAGAGTCTTTGAATTGCAGTGGGAAACATGCAGAGTATTCCAACAGCCCACATCCCCTAAACACTATAGGGATGACTATAGTTTGGGTATAATCAGGCAGTAAAATGCAAATGTTTCACCACCACCACCACCTGTTGCTGACTGATCAGTGACCCTGAGGTTAAAAAAACTCTGCATTACTCTCACAGTGATAATGGCCCTTGTTTAGTCATGCTGATATTATATATATCCTGCTACACAGACATCAAATCTCTGCTACCCAAGGATCTCTGTTTTCAAGGTGATGGCAGTGCACTGTGTGGAAAAATCTGTCTGTTAACAAACAAACGGACAGCAATATTTCTCCTGTTTTCTCTCCCCCTCTTTTCGGGATAGTCTCTAATCTTTACTACTGAATAAGAAATCAAAGCTTCATCATCTTGAGCAAAATCAAGGGGGGGAGATTCACTCTCAGCTCTCCAGTTGTATTTACGTGCATTATTAATTAAATACTAATTCAAACACACGGCTGTAATGAAAATACACTAGACACTTCTTTACCAGATTCTCCATATTACCAGACATTTTGTGCAGTACATGTTCAAAAGACATGTGGAACAAATTCACTCGGCTCACAAATGATATATGATCAGCAAGAATGATATCCTCACTACAAAAATGTCTTCCTGTGGTTTCCAGTGAAAAATAAAAATGGAAGAAAATTAGAAAGAGAAACAAAATGGGGAAACTATGCAAGTCTGACTTATAACAATGCCATTCGGAAAAATGCAAGTTGACAACAACATAAAAAATTAATCATTTAATCCACTGCATTATTCAGTGACAGTCCTTCTAAGAAAACACGCCTTTATGTTGCAGGCAGGTTTTATTCTTATTGGAACAATCCTGTTTTGTTTTTTAAAGACAGCATCCTAGTGTTTGATTTTTTTTTTTGCCAGAATGTCTTGATACTTCGCTACTATCAGAAAATAATATTTTCAGGATCATCTTGCTGTTTTCCTGCCAGGACGATATGTAATTTTCTTCTACCCATGCTGCTTCTCTATTTTAGAATACATTTTTAAAAAGTTGTTAATCAGGCACACTTACTAGTAAGGCAGCCCTGTAATAGCTCATCTGTCTTTCACGGGCTTTAATTAAGGTGCTGCTACTAAACTTAGGCAATTTCCAAAATCTAGCCTTAAATTTGAAATTCTTCACCTATGCCCTAAAATCAAGAGGAGTCAGTACTATCAATGACTTTGATAGTGCTCCTCCAATATGTACCAGATTAAACCTTTCTTTTCAAATGCTATTTTCTTCTTTATGACCTCAAGCTGAACAGCCAAGGAGTGAACACGGAAATAGCCATAAGGCTGTCTGCCCTCCTGGGGACAAGGCAGTTCTGGTGTGGAAGCTGCACCATGAACTCACTGCATTACTATATTTGGGTTAATATTCCTTGCTAATATATAATGAGAGCCTATAGTTTCCAGCCTATGATCTGGACAGCATGAGATATGGGCAGATCTAGAGCAGGTGTCTGCTCTCATCCAGGAGAGCCCTGAGCCTGGATTTCCAAATATATTGTTCCTGGAGTGTCATCACTTAAAGACGAGACCACAGGCTGGAGTCTACGTGAAAAATATTAATTTTCAAGGCTATATTTGTGTAATGATGGGATGATAGTGAAAAAACTCCTCTCCATTCAAGATGCACAGAAAAACTTTGTGAAAGATATCTCGGAAAATCACACACTAAAAAAATTGCTGACTTTTCTGAACTCACTGGCTGATGTAGTAAGACAATGCCACTCATACAAGAGATATGAAAAACATGATGTATATTTTCCCTTTTCCTTTAAAAGGCTATTTCTATTGTGGAGAATATTAAAAGCTCTCCATTTATAGGTGGAGAGGAACCTTTGAGGAAACTATCAGGCAGAGATGAAATCTACAGCTTCCATTTTCTGTGTAATGGTCAAAATATAACAAATCCTGAAAAACCTAAACTCAAATCTAGGTTTGGCACTGCATATGTATTCCTAGTAAAAAAATATAAATCCATTTAATATTTGTATATTACAGAGTTTATTTTTAAAAATAGTAAGTGTAACCATTTACACTTGCCAATTCTCAGACAAGTTTACTTTCCTGCCTGTCTCCTCCATCCTATCGTGATGTAGAAGAATAATGACGTAAAAGAATGCTGATGCAGCATCCCAGCAATTCTTCTGGGAGCAGACTGGGATGTTCCCATAAGGTTCCATGCAGGACTCGCGGCAAAATTGATGGGAGCGATGAAACAGGCTCACTGAAGTAAAACAGCAGAGGTCGAGTTTTGTGTGTTCTCCTGCCTTCTAATGGGTAAAACGAGAACTGCTCGACTGCCTTTCACAGGCTTCTCCCTGGTACCAGCTCATTATCCCAGCTATTCAGACAGGAAGGTTGGAGCCTCAACCCTGATGCTACTTCCAGCACTCTGAGCAGTGTGCATAAACACACAGAAAACGATGGGGTTGCAACAATTAGGCCCATATTAAATTAATACAGTCTATTTACTGAATAGTTGCCCATTGTTCTAAGTCGCAGTCTTTTCTCAGTTTCCCCTTTAAATGTTTTTACGTATATAATTTAATGCTGTCATTCATGTTTTACACAAAATCTTGACTTCACAAGCACACAGGATGTGTGCAGTGTGTATAAAGCATGAAAAACCTTGCATCAGGCCAGAACTATACATGAGGACTGCCACCAACTTAGAGAGTGCCAGTGTCCAGTAGCCATAGGATGGGAAGGTAGCAATACTTTTGGAAAGACCTCAACATCTTGTTCTATTTAAATATGAGTGAACATATAGCCTTCCATCACACCTACAGTAAGGGCATTAATTTAGGGGATATCTAACTATGCATGAAATGGCAGGAAAAGCAGAGAGCTGATAACACGGGCCATTTACAAACAATATAACGAGCCAGGTAGCAGAAACGTAATTCACTAACGGTATGTGACAGTGTCCAGGTCAGTCACAGGACTCTTATCTCTGTCCTAAAAAATACTCATGATAAAGCAGCCCCAGACACCAGAGTGCAACATCAACTCCACTTCTGGAGCTCGCACAGTCCCGGTATGCTTACACTGAAAAGAGATCAAATTCCTCTGGGACTCTGAAACAAGGAAGGGCGGGGGGAAGGGGGAGCTAGATGCGAATGTAAGTAGAAGCAACTTCCTATACGATGAGGGGCATCCAGTTATTCGCTTACGGTCTGCTCCTATCTGAGAGTAAAGCTGGCACTTCTGTGGACCTCTGTACTTCAGTTTGCATATGGATGTATTCTCACATAGAAACCACGGATGGGATCGCTTTGAAACCAGGCTGAGTTAATACAGGGTTCTTTACGTTAATCATGTGTGGTACACATGTTGAGGAATTATGTCATATCTCATCAACTTGTATGTACATGAAACACTGGGCTTTTTTCAAAGCAGTGCTAAACTTTATTATATACCTGGGAGATTTATGGCCATTTTGAAGAAACAGCACATTGCTTTTTTGGCCTCTGTATTTCTGTTCCATTAAATCAGTCATTAAAGGCAGGTACTCCTCAGTTACAAGCCACTAAATTCAAAATATAAATTAAAACACAGCACATCCACAGCTAAAAGTGAAAGGCTATTACACTGATGATCTAAAAAGGAACTAAATATAAAACAAGAAAAAAAAAAAACCCTCTTTTGTAGCTAAGTGCAATTGCTTGATAATTTAAAAAAAAAAATAGTAAAAAAGAAAGAAAAACTGGATATTTGGGGCTAAGTTATTTGCAAGAGTTGACGAGACAATCCGCCAGCCCACAGGTATGAGAATTCCCATAAACCCTCTCCTCGCACTCTTAACATTTATCCATCTAACTACATGCATCACTTTTCTTTCCACAAGTTTTATGTTGTTGCTTAAGTTGTTTTATTACTTTGAGGCACGTAAATGTTTGCCTAAGGCTCTTCTGTGAGTACAGAACAGAACACACAGCACACAGCAGTGTGTTCAGGATCCTCCTTTCTCTTTTTTTCTTTAATGAGGTTTACTAGCATGTGAACAGATGGCAATTTGAACATGTTGAGAATATCAGTGAGTTCAGAGCTGAGGAAACACTAAGAATGACTAAAAATAAATCATAGCACTCACAATTACATGAATATTGTAATTACATTTCTGCTTATGGCATTGTAAGGTTTATTGCTTTTAATTCAAAACAGAATGCCAACCTGAAGAGTCCACTGTTTAGTGTTGCTTTGAATTGCCCCTGCCTGCTCCCCTGCCATAAGAGACAGTTTGGGGGTATTTTTTGGTCTTTTCAACGTATTCATTCGGATAGTGGAAAGCAAAATCTGCCTACTTTCTCCTGTTTCTGGCACCACCTTTCTTCCCATCCCCCAACTTTTTTTATTTCACTTTTACCACAGCAAGTTGCTCAAACAAGTTCAGCATGGAAGCAGTTTCTCTACAGAAGGGATCTTGCTTTCAACCTCCATGTGTCTCAGACCACAACAATGGCTCTTCCAACCTCAGAAACTCTCCTTGAGGCAAAGGAATGTTTTGCATCAAGAGAGAATGCCCTGGGAGCTTAGCAATGGCTTTGTGGGAAGAACAAGAAAGAACCATTTTTCTTCTATTTATTTGTAAAAAAATACAGTATACATATTCAAGTATTTTTCATGAGCCTGAAGGGTAACAGATTTCATCATATAATATCTGCTCAAGGGCTTTATTTTAATGTAACAACAGATGGTTTTGCTTTTAATACAAAGCCTGTACTATTACTGACCTCATCTTCCTCTTCAAAGGGATTACACTGATTAGATATCATTTTCTCTTCTAAATCAGACTGCTGCTTCTCAGAAGGAAGCGGAAAGACAGCCTGGCCCGAAGGAGCCTCCAAGGTCAGATGCAACAAGGCTTACTCTGCGCATGGGTGCAGGGAAGGGGCAATGACTGCGGTGCCCAGGGAGGCAGTCAAGTTCCTCAGCTTTTCACTCTTCACTTTCCCACTGTAATTCATTCCTCAAAACAATCTTAAATTGCATGAATACTTAAAATATGCCCTTAATCAAGAAATGAAGCATGTCGCGCAAAGCAGGCATCACGACAGCAACTCTAGAACTATTGAAATCAGTGATGAAATGCCACTCTGATCTCAGTGGCGCTTGGATTTTGCACCCCCAAGCAAGGCTACTCACCTCTCTTCTCATCCACGGTAGATACTGCCTGGATTAAAAGCGGTGCGTTGGATTCTGTATACTCCACAAACACCAGCAGCAGCTTCAGTGCCGTCTTCACCACCAGGCGGAACTGGAAGAAAAGAGTGCGACTTGTCATTCGGCAAACCACAGCATTTCCAGATTTGCTAAATGACACTGGGCAAGACTCAACCGCAGTGATCCAGATCTGGTAATAACACACGAACAGGAGAGATTAAGCTGTGCCAGGACCAAAAAAATGTCAAGTAGCTAGTTGTCTGAAAATTTTATTCATTGGACAGTGCTCTTCTAGGGAATTCTCAATGATCAACGAATCCAAATGAAAGCTTAACGCTGCATGTAATAAAAGGCTGAACATACCTCCTATGCATATCCCCAACATCGCCGTCCAAAGCTTGATGTACAGAGAACCTACTGAGCTATGAACGCACATATTCCTTTATTTCTCAACACAACATTTACTGCCCTCTTTCACTGTAAGCTTTTAATGCTGTTAAATTTCTGTATGACAGGATGATTTTCTCCTCATGCTTTCTTCTTTTCTTATAACATTACTATTTAATGCTTAAATTATTAAATAGATCAATCTTCACTATTTAACACAACTTGGGAGAAAGTGTGTTTTATCTCTGACTATCCCTCCCCATCATGAAATGTGTGATTTACTGGAACTGAACATTCTGCCTGAAAGTTTTCAAACTCAGTTTTTTGTACATCCCAGGCACATGAGTTCAGCAAAGATGCAACATTAATAAAATGGACCTCCTGCAAATCAATAGCCAAACTCTATCAGTTTCTTCACAGATCTCCCATTTCCAGGTAGAATCATTTGACTATTAGATAATTTTCAAAGCACTGAGTAAGAATTTTTAGAGACTTGCTTGGCATGATCAGAAATGTGAAAAACCAACTCTTTACTTAAGGGAATATTCGGAGTTTTTAGTAAAAGGACATGTGAAAGAGGAGGACTTTTAATAGGCAGGGCTCTACATGCCCAGCTGAGAAGGCTTTTACTAGGAGAATCGATTCTAGGTCAAATCTGCTATATCCTCAATCCAAATCATGGATTTAGAGCCAAATAAAAGGCGATACACCACTGGTCCCAGAAACAGTTTCCAACCTACTGCGACTGCATGAATCTCCAGAAAAACAGATGTTTGTAAGTTTATTGTATTTTTCTGCTAGCTTGTTCTGCAACAAATCTATCCAACAATGCGTAAGATTTTCAACAAGGCAGCTACAGTAATGCAATCGTTACTCTCTCCTTGCCATTGAGAGATGTTTAAACCTACTTTAGGATGTATTCACATAGAGATATGCCACGCTCCAGAAAATCCCTGGTTTTGTCTCATTACATTAAGTTGGTAGGCACTGAAACATAACCACCTGGTCATTAAAATGTCTTGCTCAGGGAGAAAGGAAAAAAATAAATCCTGACACTATTGCTAAACTGTTTCAGGGATATATATATATTGTCTGTCAGTACTAGCTCATTCCCATTCCCTCATTTTTTTCAAGTCCTCTCAACACAACTCTCCTAAGAGGCAAAGAATCGCTATTAATCATTTCATAGATAGACTCACAGACAGTGACTGTGTCTATATCCAAAAAAAGACTGCAAGTGCAACAGGCACAGACTCAAGCTATGGCATTCACATTGCCACTCACAGAGATGTACTAGAGCTCACTTCAAGGTAATGAGCTAAAATACAGCTTGCAATTATAAACACAGAGTTCAGTGTGAACAGTGACCCAGGTATTTTCTGAGCTTCTCGGGTTTTACCCACTCATGCAGAACTGAGCTTAATGCA